GAGAAGGATGTGGAAGAGTTGGGGAGGAAGTATGTATAAACCGTTATTCTGGAGTATGTATAAACCGTTATTCTCCAGACGGAGAAACCTGGCCTGAAAACAGATGGGGAGAAGAGCTGCAGTTAGGGCACACATTGTGGATGAACGTATTTATGCGAGACAAGTAAGTGTTTAGCACTCGGCTATATTCTGATCTCAATTGGGCAAGGACAGTTCTTGCTGCACGGGGAAGACAACGTTCATCCGGGGAGATTTCAGGCGAGATACCATATATTCATTTACCAAATGTAAACTTCTCTTTTCCTCTTTCCTATTCTTCTCCTTACTCTTCTATAGTATTCTGTTGAGTGTTGTGATATGTTCTTTTTAATTCTTTTTTATTTTTCTCTTCTTATTTTCTTAGTGCATCCTCCATATAGCTCGGGTTTCGCATCGTCTGGCTGCCATTTGTTTCGGTTTTTGCAAATCTCTCATTAGTATGCTCATTAGTAAAAAATTGGCAGACCGATGAGCCGCTAACATCACTTTGTGAAATTTTTAATCCAAGAACCACAAAATTTACCTTAAAATTGCAAGAGGTCTTAAGTAATAACAGGCGATATATATTGGATTAAAATTAATTTTTAAGTAAACTTAAAAAAAAACGACGTATAAATATTCACCCAATAAAGAATATTTGTATTGTAATGTAAAATTACATATTTTTATAAGGATTGATTTTCAATTTCCGGAACTCTATAAGTCACTTTCAAGGAACATCAGAATCACAAAGCTACGTACATTTTTGAAGAGTGTAGCATGCATATCGAATGGATTTTAACTTGCACAAATCAATAAAATAAATTTGTTAAATTTACACTTAAGACTTAAGAATACATTTTTAATTCATATATATATTTTTTTTAATTATTTTTATTGGATTTTTAATTTTTTTTCATCTAAAGCAGTCGAAAGCAATAAAAAGAAAGTCTTCACGCTTCATTCAATTCGATTCGATTCGTTTGAAATAAAAGCAAACAAATATCTCGTATCTTATTATGAATTTTTTTTTAATATGATTTTATTTTTTTTTTATTTTTATATATTTTTTTCTCTAATAAGTCGAGATAAAAAATTAGCATCTCTAGTGCGTTCATAAATGTTTGCAGCGTTCACATTTGCTTTAATGGCTTATTGTCATCTTAGCCCGGCTCCGTGCCTGCTTTTGACTGTTTCGTCTATTGGACGTACAAAAATAAATTGACAAACTCTATTTTTAATACTTTAGCCAACAAAATTTCGCTTTTAGTTTATAAATGTGACATTCGAACTAATTTTTTTTAATATTTTTTAATTTTAAAATGTTTTCAACTTCGCATTTTGAAATTCATCAACTGCCGAAGTGAAGAAAAACTTGGATGCTGAGTTGCAATTGTTAAGTGGTCGTTAACTCTACGTGCACATATGTCAGTCTTCAGTCTTCAGTTTTCAGTTGTTTCATTTAAGTCATATTATAACGTCGTATATACATATACATATACATATATATATATATATATATATATATACGTTTTTATGTTTTTTAAATAAATTTATTGGAATTTTGTTTTCAGTAAGTAAAAATGAAATTTTTTAAGTTCATTGTTTTGCAATTAGTTTTCATTTTACGGTTGCTGGGCAGGTGTAAATCACTGTAAATATTTTCTATTAATTTTATTATTATTTTCCAATAACTTTCCCTTTACCTTATTGCATTCGTAAATGGTTGATAGTTTGTTGTCAAAATATTTTGATAATTTATCTTCTTAACAACATATACGTGTAGAGTATGTTTGTGTTTTTCTTTTAATAATAATTGTTTAACAAATTAATACATAAAAATATTTACGAGTATCTACCGGAGAGTTTTTAAAATTTCGTGTCTTCTCTTTCCTCAAACAGTAGTTAAGAAACACTCATAGATACACTCATAGTCATTAATGCTTTTAATTTTAATATTTTAATTTTTATTATTGTTAAAAATATTTTAATATTTTTTAAAGTTTTATGTTTTTCATTTATTTATAATTTTTAATAATTTCTCATGAATTTTTTACAACGAATTACATTTGTTAACATAGTTGAGTCTTATAGATTTGTCAGTTAAAAAGTTTAAACTTTCATAAGGAAGCGAGCTTTAAGCGCTTTCATGGAGTCGCCCTGTAAAGATATTAGTCTTACTGCAAGTTTGTTGACAGATCACAGCTGACTACAGAACTGTATTCGAAGATTGAATATTATATTAAATTATTCCTATCGCAGTTGTGGAGAGCACGATGAGAGGTCCTGACACCTGCTTTATAACTGCACATCACATGCGAGTAATATAATTATATTTATATTTTTAATAATAAACGTATTGCATAAAAATTAAATATAAAGTTTTACATTACTTATAATTATAAATATTATACTTATAATACTCGACACCATTTATTATATTTGGGGCTTCCTTTCTTGTGAATCTAAACGACCTCTACAACTTCCCTCTAAGAAGCATGTCAGGTTTTGCCAAAGGATTAAGGTGCATTTGAAACTTCTAAGTTCTTACATGGTAACAAAATTAGTCAATAGATCTATGTATGTCTTTAGGATCGCCGATATAACCTAAACTAAGGAAGCGACTTGCAATGGAATTAAAGACCTATTGATACTTTAATATGAATTATAAATTATCTTTATTATTTGTTAAAATGCATTAATCAGTCTCCCTGTTATTGTTGTTATTGTAACCCGCTGGGTTCTGTTCAGATAACATGTAAGGATTACAAGACGAATATTTGGATAAGGGAGTGGATAGTAAGGAGGGGGGTGGGGGTGGTTATGGTTAAGGAGATAAAGGAAGGGGTGGTATAATTTGAAACTAACCAAGATCCAACGAGTTCAAAAGTCACTCAGTCTCCCTCGAAGCAAAATAATCTCTAAAGAAGAGCACCTACACCAGGTGATTTTAATTAAATACAACAATTGCAGAGAATATAATTTATCTCCTAGAAAGCAAACATAAAGGATACATGTGATGTGCTCGCTTGACCTTATCAAAGACATATATGAAACATTTAAACGTGATCCTGTGTTATGAAGACTTCAACACAATTATAAAATGTGCGTAGACAGAGAATAAGAAACCGGTGCTGGTTTGGGTATCTCTCTAATAAATGCCCTCTTGTGAACTAGCACTCTCTCCAAAATTGAAAACCAAAAATTTTTTTCGGGTGAAAAAACTGATAGATATTGTTTAATTAATTTCCTACGCTTTCAGAGTAAATACTCATGAGAAAGTTCATATTTTAAAATTAAAATTCAACTACTATAAACACAAATTTTTAAAGCAGAGAAATCTATAGATAGATATAGATAACTATAGAGTAAAAAATCAGGTTTATAATGACCAAGCTAAAAATTAGTATTATTACCAAAGAACGTTCTGTGATGATAGTGTAATAGTAAGTTTGGTGGTAAGCTTTTACAAGCTTCAGTATGTTCAGCGGTTATATAGCAATTAATATTGTAAAATATGGTAGTTAACCTAACATCCAACGAATAGTTAAAATAGAGTTGATGGCTACTGTAGCTGACGATTCTCACTGTAGTTTAAGTTTAATAGATCGAATACTATAGGCAAGCAAATGAAGTGCAACTGGACTTTGTTTTTGATATTTCTCGCTCAGTGACTAAATGGTGGGTTGAGCATTAAGCATAACAACTGATGCCTGCGATGAAAGTTATGTGTGAGATATACCGCTGAAGCAGTACTGCCGACTCAATACCACCGAAACAGTACTTCTAAATGGATAGTTCTTTGCTTTAGTATAGTTAGAAAGATTTATTCGACAATCGAGGAAGAGTTAGAGTCTTTCTTTAGTATAGTTAGTTAGTTAGTTGTGGTGGAGGGAGGACGAATCCTCCTCAAATAGCTAAGGATGAAAACCGTTTTGAGTCCACAAAAACCTCGTAATAGTGGGTAGTAGATAGAGGGTCACACTAGAACCAACCAGAGGCATTAACAAAGGCAAGAATCTGGCTAATGGTGATGCTGGAGATATCGCTAAGTGAGTTGAAGAAAGGGGCCCCTAGAAACTTAAACCTAGTTCTGGCAGACCTGGACAAAAACACATCAGGTGTTCTGGTGTCATTTCTTCAAGTATTGGTAGACACGCACTACATGAGGTACCACAGGGAAGGCCAAGTCTAGCTCCATGCCATCCTATGGAACAGTGACCCAAAAAGACAGATATTAGCTTAGAAACCTCAGATTTGTTTCTACAGATTAAGTCAGAGGTTTTATATTTGGAATAGATGTGCCAAGTAGCCCTTGACCTGGCTTTAGTATATTTTTGAATAATTTCCGTAACATGTGCTTTGCTTTTTAAAGCATTTGTACTAATACTTTTTAACCAACTTTTGTGCATCTTATCGGTATCAGTTTACGAGATTGTTGTTTCCCATTTCATCACAAAAGTATGCTATATTTTTAATTTTAATGTTTAAAAGTATCTTAAGATTCGAATTATCAAGTATCTATGCAAATTAGATAGATTTTAAGTAAATACTTAAAGGCGTTGCATACTGATTAAAAAATGTATCTTAAATACTTGTTGGAAATTTTATGAAATTCACGTACTTAATATATAAATATGCAACTAGTAAAAGACTGTAATTTTTACTATTCATACGCTTTGTATAAAAAAGGTGTATTAAGTTCGTTGATGCGGTTACAACGCAGTACAGGAAATGGCGATGACTCTAAGAAATTGATATTATTTTCTTTTAATAGATAAAAGCTGCAGTCAACAATGCATGTTCTATAGTATAAAGTTATTCAAAAAACTAAGTAGAAAAAAGTGATATGGTATTAATTTATAAATTTGAGTATATATTTTTATAAACTTGTTTTATTTACTATAACTATATAAAAATATATGAAAATTTTGTTATCAGGCAGTTTCAATAAAAGAAAATTACTTTCATTTAATTCTGACAATTTAATTATTATTGTGCTTCAATATTAAATCAATGTATGTTTTTTCATTATTATGCTGACTTCAGTTTTCAGTTACAATACTTAGATATACCATGCACCTCCAAAACACTTAAACTCCATTGTATAGTTTGATTTTGACCATATTGATACAATGCAGCGCTTCGAACGTTTTCGATGACTTGATAGAGTCACATTCAATTTGTAATTCTTTCCGTAATCCCAGCCATGGTTGACTGTTTGTACTGTGCCGGAGTGTACTTTAATAAAGGTACTTCCATGTCGCCCGTTTTCTTATACAAATAATCATCCACTAAATGTGTAATTTCTATGAAATCAATTATAGATAAAGGTTGCGGAGCACTAAGTATACTCTAAAAATTAAAAATTTAATTATTATAAAGTAAATTACATTAAATTAAAGTATATGCACATCGAAATAATCATCCCATGCAGCTACCATCAAAACACTAATAAATAACAGATACATTCTTCTCTTAAACATCCTTGTCAGTGCCTTTAATTATGTCTTTTAAATATAGTAAAAGTAGGCCATAAACAGTTTTACTTCAATCTAAAATATTTATATTTATAAAATTAATATAGAATAAATAAAAAATAAATAGCATCTTACACTATTGGCATGTATGACCCTAGTAAAGTTTAAAATGTTCATGTGGATATATTGTACCTATAGTATAGAACTAATAAAATATATATTTTAAAAGTATATAAAAAATATTCTAAAAATCTGTTAACTATATTTAAAAATCAAGGAATACTAAAAATAATTAACATATCTTGACAAATAAAGTTCTTAGTATTTAACAATCCCTGAGTACATACGAGAGAGGTGTTTCCGATTGTCAATTTGTCAAGGTTTTTATGTTCGAATACAAATACGTATTATTTTAATATTTTGTTTGAGTATGAAACTTTATATGCATTAGTAAAAAAATTAGACTAGACTAATTGCAGCTGTTGCAGATCAGTGGTGTATAAAATCCCACATGTAGAAACTGACGTTTCGTGTCACACCTATTGTAAAAGTTGCGGAAACTTAGACTCAGAAATGCTAAGCACAACCTTAGTTTACAAAAGACACAGGTAAGAAAGTCACAAAAGATCTTTTAAACTACATAACGTCATACGAACATCAAAGTGAATAAGAAAACAGACAGTTTAGCTCGCTCTAGTACTTCCCTGGATGCGTCCCTAACGGTACCGGTTTATGTTACCCTAGAGAACATCAATAAATATACGTAGAACGTAGAGGTAATATTTTCTTCAACTTAAGTCATATGCAATTTCCCGCTTAACATGGCCCACTTATAATAAAACTACCTCTTGGGAATTCATCAAGAGGGATCGTATGAATACTGCACGGAGAGAAACTACGCATTCCCCATAATCCTTACTGTAGAAGTTATGAAAACCTACACAAAAAGGTTAAAGAAATCATCAAACACTTTCTCTGTAAATGCCCGACTTTGGCGTCCAGAAGAAATAGGTTTTGAGGAAAGTATTTCTTTGAGAGCTGTCCAGAATGTTCATTGATAAAGATGAAAGGCCTACAAGTTTATCTAAATTCGAAGTAGCAAACCGGTGAAAAATGGCTAATTGAGCTATATGGAAAGTTATTTGATGATCTTTCACAGTAATCATTACTATTATTATAAAGAGGGATTGTGCACTGCGACCTAAAAGATCTTTTGTACCCCTTACTCGGGTGAGAGTGTTTCCCCAAGTCCGATTTCTTTAATGAAAGACAGTATAATGTCTACCTTTTCTAGTCTTGAATCTTTATGCACCTGACTGTTCCATCCGAGTATGCTCAGCTTGTCAATGCACTCCTATACCAGTTTAGATGATACCTGGTAGGATATGAGTGCCATTATAAATAGTATTAAAAAAATCTGTGTGAAAATTCGACTAAATTCAAGAACTTTGAAGCAGTTTAGCTATTTAATAGAATGTATATAATCCTATTCATTACATTGTCCACTACAAACATGCTATAACTTCCCTAATAGCAATTACTTGTACCTGAAAAGCACTGCAGTGATCAAAAAGCCTATAATATAGAGAATTATTCAGATTCTCTGAAAAAAACTACACTGCTTGCACCACTCTCTATTTTATTGAATGATATATATGGTTTAATCCCGTCCCAATTAGGTACCTCACTGCATGTAAAGTCGTCATAAAACTCCCCGCTAAATCGATAGATGTAGATGTAGTTAATATTTCTTAGAATAGAACTGAAAGACCTTTGGCAATAATCATTAGTTAAAAACAAATTTATAGAATATCTTTATTATAAATATTTTTGTTTTAAATTTTGCGAAACGAAAAAAATATGTTGACTTAAACTAACTTTCTAGATAATCAATCTTCAATTAATCATTTACATATGAATTACATATCATTTTCATATGAAAACAATTAAGTATGAATAAAAAAATTCCGCAGATGCATTAGAGAAACAAAAATTCCTATGCAGTCAATTAACGAAATATTCAGCGGAAAATCTTGCAAATATGTTAAATGAAAAGCATTAAAAACGCAAGTGAAATTTGTGTCAGTGAAAAGCATGTAAAACGCTTAAATATTATAGAATTTCCGTTTTGTAGCGTTTAGAGAAAAACAAATAAACGCTAAAGTGCGCCAATTGGAACCAATTTACGCCAATGTCAATCCAGAGTCTTGAAAGCACTGGCGGCATGAGCGGTGGAAAATGTGAAAACTGTTCGCTCAGAAAATTGCATAATGATTTATTACAACGAGCTGAAGAAAATATCTAAAATCTATTGAAATTGTGTGTTTCCATCTATTTTCACCTTAATTAATTGCACATATGTAAACACGCACGTACTGCAATTAACGCACGCACTTTGCCAATTAACTTGCTGTTCTTAGAAAAATTGTACAAATAATGTGACAGATCTGATTAGATAGATTTTTGTCTTTCCTTTTTGTCTGAACATTTTATTTTTCACATATGCTCGTATTTCAAATAATTTATGAAAATATTTACTACAATTTATAGTTCAGTTTAAGCAATATTTGCGCTTTCGTTGTCTTTCCATTTCCATTTGCGGTCTCTTATATATTGTATCACTGATAAATTAACTTGGCAATTAAAGCCCTGAGATACTTTCATTCATTTTCTATGAGTTGAGACAAATTCTCTTTTAATATGTCAACAAACTGCCTACATATCATGCAATATTATAAGTGTTAAATTACTAACGAAGTTAATGAAACTACTATGAAAATAAAAATAAATGAAAATGTTAAGTTACTCTCTCTTATACTTATTAAAAATGAAGTTTACGATTATTTATTTAATAAAAAGACACTTTTTTGATTTGAAATCATCGTCTGGATTTCCTACTCACACTCGAAATACAATCTATTTAGCAATAACCATCAATTAATTTTTATTAAAAATACCAAAAATAATACTTATATATTCGATATCCCTACTTTAATTGTGTCTTGCAAGCAAAAATTCTTGCTATTCTCGAAACTTCAAAAGAATGTGATCACGCCCATAACTATATACATTTATTATTACATTTAGACAGCCGCCAGAATTTAAACTTGCTGACTTCAATTACATAGTTAATCATCTAGTGCAGCAACTTCCTAACTGATATGACGAGAAAATTCAAGATACATTTTAATTAGTGTATAAAACAATACAGATTAAGCTAGCCAAGAAAGGAACTTCCACTCAATATTTTTAAAAATATATAGGCTCATAATTCCTAATTTATTTCTAAATGAAATCTTGTATATTAAGGGTGGAATTGAAAAGCGAATGTGTACTAACTAGGAATGTCTGACAAAAATTGAACCTAAAAAACTAACGTTTTTCCACGTTTTGAGGGCATTACAATATGCCTCCGAGTGAAAGTGCTAACAACTGTCAGCACGCACCTTCTAAACTTAACCCTAACCTAACGTTTTTCCACTCGAAGAGCTTAAAATGGTGAAACTAATAAACCTAACTAAGTTTATTAGTCAGATAATCTTAGTTCACTAACTAGGATTATCTGACAGAAAGGGAAACCTCAAACAAACGGAATGAGAAAGAAAATTTTAAAACTCAACTGTTAAACTGAAGAATTTTTATTTATTTATTATTTATTTATTTATTATTTAAAAATGTTTTTTTTATCATTTAGAGTTTTTTAATAAACTTATGAAGACACAATATAATAGCATATTTCAACTGCTTACTTAATAAGTTTGATTTACTAAGTAAACAGCTTCCGCATTTTTTAATAGCACATTCACACTGTCTCATTTAGGCGGTTTTGCTAGTTACAGCCACTAATAAGAATAATTTACCATAAAATCTGCCTTCATATAAATAAGCTCATTATAAATAAATCAGTTCATTTAAGGCGAAAAGTGTTGAATGCAACTTTTAGAAATAAATTTCCCACAAGGGAAATTATGAAAATTTAAAATATTTATCATATGTTTTATATGTAAAATTTAAGTAAAGGACAGTTGAGCTGCAAACGAGCGTACTAAGAAAATAAATACTTAATGATGTCTTTGTTTTTATTAATTGTATATGGTAATAGATCTATAAAATATATATATACAAATGATTTGATATATCATTTATAGATTTAATTTTTTGTATGATGTATTATTGTTTAACTAAATTATACAACATCTTAAGAAACAGAAGCTCTCTTAAAACTTTCAAAAAACTTTCTGAAGCATAAAAGCTCTTTCACATGCAATAAGTAACTTATATCAATGGAAACGACAAAATCCTAAAGTCACTTAAATAACTTACTAAGTAAGCAGTGGAAACACGATATAAATCACTATTCTTAAGATAAATATAAGAAAAGCCAATTTGATGAACTCTTTCTTTTCATAGTCTATTCAGATTCTAGAGTCACTAAAGCTCATACTAGAAAAATGTGAAACACTGATAGATAAAACACTAGGAATTAAGTACGCTCTATCCAGTAAACTTACTTAAATGCTATATTTATAGAGATTAACAAGCCTGGTCTAGATTTTACAGAAATAATCTTTACTAAAAGAGTGTAGTAAAATATATATTCTCGTAGCAGTTCTTTATTTATCTCATGTTTGCAACACATTACATTAACCATTCACCATTTAATGAAAATATTTTATTGTTGAAAATAATTGCTTATGAATTAATTTTTTAATTGCCAAGGAAAATATGTAAGATTTCATTTCTGGCAATGGATCTAGGTACATTAAGTCAGCCAAAAGGCGTGTAATTAAATCAGCGAGATTGTTTAACAAAAACCAAAAGCAATTAACTGAGTTGAATGAGTTTAACTCCAAATAAACTAATTTAAGATAAGTTTTTTATTTTAAGAAGAAGTGCCGATTTGATGAGTAAACAATTGAATTAAAAACAAATTAGCTTTTCATGTACAAAAATATTTCAAAGCAAGAGCAAAAAATTAATTGAAATATGGATACATGATTTATGTACTGATTTACTATTTTAATGATTTTCATAGTTAATTAAAATTACTACATGCTTTTTAAGTCTATTTTAAATATCTATAAATATATTGAATTATTTTAAATATATGTTTTCACTCTTCAATGTACTATTTTAAGCTCCAATTCACTCGCCTATTTTTAAAATCTTTTACTTATGGAGCTGAGCTCGTTGATTTTATCTTGTAGATTTGCGTGACGATTTTCCAGAATTGGTATATGATGAATTACGTGTTAAAAGAAAGAAAACAACAGCATACCAATAATAATATATTATTATTATTATTATGAAAAATATTTACCAATTAACAAAACTATAAAATTATTTACGTGGTAATAGAAAAGATTATATGATATACAGTTGCAATTCTCTCAATATAAAATCAATTTACTCCCCATTATACTATTAACTAAAACTTTGACAAAAATATTTGTTTAAAAAAATAAAATCTAGAAATAAAAATAATAAAATAAATAAATAAAGTGATAATACCTTAAAAAGTAAAATGCACATAATAATAATTATTTTAGAAAATAATTTTTTTTTAATTTTATTTTAAAAGGCGAATGATAAGTTATTTGTTGATTTTTATATTTTTATTTCATAATAACTGTTATGGTTATTACTCATTATCTCTATATAGATCCATGAAGTATTAGTAGCTCCAAATATATGCCGTTTAAACGTATTTAATATTCTGCCAATTTTCTTAAACTATACTTTCTTAATAATATGGTAGTCCCTAGATAAAACAACTGAACATATATTAAATAATATAAAAAATTAAATTAAATAGTAAACTGATCATTAAAAAGTCTTTTTAAAACAGACTTTTCACCCACTGTCCACCCACTGTGGATAAGATACATAAATGCTGCAAATGTGGGCAGCACCGATTGATACCATCTCAGACAAATGACAACAAAGTAGATGAATAAGTGATGTTAACATACTGACCAGATGACAAAACCGATTGAATATGTAACAATCCATTAGGAGAATGGTGAAATAAAAGAAGTGTTTCTTGGCATTTGTTATTTAAGGGGCAAATCAATTAAATCATAGTTCTGATATTCATACAAAAAGACATATAAAGAGCATACAGGACATACAAAAGTGAGGCTTGATATAATGAAGTAAGGAACTTAATTTTATGATCAGGTTGCCATGATGTCTGACATCAATAAAGTTGCACTGGTTGATTAAGAAAAACTACTAAACAAACGATTGGGAGTGTATGAACCATTTGTTAAACTTAAGGAATAAGCTATTTATATACGAGTATACCTGTTTTTCTTGTAAGATTATTTGCGTTGTTTGATGCTTTAAGTATCATTTGAAAGATTTAAGTGACGATGTTTGAACTTCATTGAAAAGTCTGTGAGATGACTGAGATGAATATTATTAATATATAACACCAATAAAAGCTCTGTGCGATCCTGAAAAATATCGCATAACATAAATTTTCGAATTACTTTAAATTACTTCAAAATATCCCGGCTGTCATTGTTTTTAAAGCAGTGAGCCATTGTAAGAAACATCAAATTGTGTTGAAAAGAAACAGTAGATATAGTGGTGGCAACTCGATTTCTAATTGGGATGTCAAAAATATAAAGGACGAAAGGCCTAACAAAAGTTCGCTTAGTTAGCAACACGGATAAATTTTGGATAAATGAAGCAATCCCAACTAATTCTGCATAGTATTGTGATATTTTAATTAAAGTTTCTCAGTAAGCTCCCAGAAGAGAAATAAGAAGACGCAAACTTAGGACAACGGGTTGATGTTAGTTCTTCCACTATCGTAATAAGAGATTCAGTTTGCCATTTTTAAGGAATTTCAACATATTTTCAAACCTATAAAAATATTTGGTGAGTGTCAATTTCAATTAGCATATGGAGAGAATACTACATCGCTTGTCACAATTTCAGAGCTCTATCCTTTGTATATTTTTTGAACGAATCAATCTTGAGGTCCCTGAGGATGTCATTCGTGTTAACATACCATGGTACCTTGAAGAGTCTTCTCAGAGCCTGGCTTTGTGCAATTTCTAGCTGGCGAATAGTAGTGTTTGAAGCTTTGCTAAACGCCACACGTCCATATGAAGGAAGAATTATTTGGTTATTTAATAGCTTCCTGTTGTTAGCATTGAAATAGCGGTTGTAGGTGATAAAAAATTTGGCTTAGCTAAATCTTTTCAGTTGAATATGTTTAAACCATGTGAATCGTTTGTCCAACGTGATGCCTAGATATTCAATGTTATTCTCCCGTTTTATTAACATATCTTCCACTCTCACTCTTGACGGGTTCTGAAATAAACAGAGCCTTAGTTTTTTCATTATTGATTTTTATTTTCCACATCTGGAATGCTAATTTTAATTAAGTAGACATAATGTTAAGCATATGGTTGGGATCTAGTTTTTAATATTGTCAAGCATAAGAAATATAAAAACTTGATAAGATTATTGATATTCATCCTACAAAAACTTAGCAAATGCCAATTATCATTAAGGAGATATAATGTCTCGTATATGGTTAGGATCCAGTTTTTGATATTGTCATGCATAAGCGATATTTATCCTGCAAAAATATATTGAATGACAATTATCCGTATACAATATACTATCTCGTATACGGTTGGGATTCAGTTTTTGGTATTGTCATACATAAAAATTGCTTGAAACTTGATAAGTTTATCGATTTTCATCCTACAAACATTAAGCGAATGCCAATTATCATTAAGTAGATATAATGTCTCGTATACGTTTAGGATCCAGTTTTTTGATATTGTTATGCTCGCAGTACTTTTGCTTTTCGCGAACCTCCTACTATCTTAACACTTGTTAATTTTTATGTGATTAAATTGAATAGAAAATAAAAGTTTCTTCTATATGAAAAACGAAATCAATAATTATTTAGAAAACGAAATCATGTTTCCTGTAAAAAACCAATCATTAAATGTTTAGCATAGTTTCACTTTCAAATAATTATTGACAATTAATAAAATTAGTAAAGATTATTCAGTGCGCAGCAATTTGGCTTGAAGTGAAGAACTGCAACGCGGCAGATCTGATGGAATGAGTTATAGGCGAAGCAAGAAAACTGATTCACTTGGTTAGTAGGAATGCCAATACTGCGATAATCTCAGCCATGCGTGAAACGTAAAGAGGGTGATGATAGCTGCGCCAAAGCAAACCTCACCGATAAATTGCAGGAGCCCGCAAGCCGAATAAATTATTATTAAATTTTCAATGAAATGTGTAGCAGATCTGCAATGGAAGAGAGATGAAAATGCATAATATGATAAATAATAGAAAAATCGGTTCAATAAAGATTCTGCATTGATTGTGGCAGAGACAATAAAACTGAGTTGCATGCTTAGTAGGCTAATTAGTCGGTTTTGTGCATTGCGCATTGTGCAACTAAATATCTCGAATCGCGCTACAGCGGATAAGGCGTTAAATAATAATAATAAAAAAAATATTAATAATAAAATAAGACAGAGTAATAAATTTTTTCAAAATAAATGTTAAAATCAAATAAAGAACAAATGTAAAGGATATTTGTGTTTAGTGTCAAGAGCAATCAGAATTGCAAGTGCAACGCGCAAAACGTACCAAATATCGGACAAAATGTCACGTACGCTTGACTTTAGTTTTATTGTGCCACTGTGCCTATTTCTTGGATTATGGCAAATGCAAATACAAATGGTGCATATGGAAATACTGACACGTCGATCTGGTGCTAAGCGCAGTGTGAATTTCATCAAATCCAATTATAATGAGCACAAAGTTGAAGCGGACAGCATAACGGAGCCAGCCGATATCGTCAATACAGACTTTATGGATAAAATTAGTTGGAATTGTGCTAACAATGGTAAATGCATTAACAACTTAACGAATAGCCTGTGGAAATCCTACAGACGTGGGGAAACCATTAATTTTGGATTATTCGATGTCGTTAAGCTGCCATATAATGCGAAAGCGGCGCACAATTTAAATCTCACAGAAAGTGGGCGTAGCATGTCAAAAGTAATGGATTTCATTAATGGCAATGCTGTACGTATACCAATCGGACCTATGGTTTTCAGTATACAGCGTTCGATGGAAGACTCTAATTACTTAGAAGTTGCTTTGCTGAAAAAATCCAAAACACAAGGTATGACAATGTTAAAATTATAATTCGGTATGCTTGTAAGGAAGAGAAGTAATATTTTACACATAATATGAGCGACTTGAGGACAACAAGGATACTAATAAAAATTGAATCAATTATTTTTAGTGAGTTTTACTTCATTGCTTTGCTGTCTTCTTATGAAAAGCTACAAATACCACAAATGTTAAATAAATGTTTTCATTTAGCTCCAAAATAAATTTCAATTTCCTTTCATATTTGTTATGAATAAATCAAAAATATCATACCAAGCACATGAGCATATAATATAGCGCATTTAAGGATACAAAGCATAAAGTTTAAGGTCATTCCAGTAAACGATTTCCTTCATACAAAATACTTACGAATTACATTGCGTAGGAATTTCCCAGAAATATTTTTGGCACATTAAATTTGTTTTATGTGACATGTGCGGCTATTTAGCAGGATAATTTACCACTTGGCAGCATATGTCATGTGACATTTTTTTTATCTCATCTGCCATATCTACCATAAAGTGTTTGAATCCTCGTATAATGTACCTAAAATATATTTCAACATACATTAAGACCGAAAAGTTTTCGTTTCGGAAATTCTCATTTAAAATTCGCGCGCTGTATATTTTTCGATATTTTAAGTTTATGTAGTTTGGCAGCACTGTCCTTAATTACTATGCCAAAAATGAGCGCGATCTGTCAGACAGTTCGTTTACGGCAGCTGTTGAAACCAGTTCACCTCAGTAGTGCGTTGCGAAAAAAACAATGGAAAAAAATATTGAACAAAGAGTTTGCATCAAATTTTGTGTTTCGAACGAAATTTCGTGTGCAGAATCGTTGCGAATGCTACAAAAGGCTTATGGGGAATCAGTTTTATCGAAAACTCAAGTTTATGAGTGGTACAAAGCCTTTCAGGACGGTCGTACGACCGTCGAAGACATTTCGCAACGCACTACTGAGGTGAACTGGTTTCAACAGCTGCCGTAAACGAACTGTCTGACAGATCGCGCTCATTTTTGGCATAGTAATTAAGGACAGTGCTGCCAAACTACATAAACTTAAAATATCGAAAAATATACAGCGCGCGAATTTTAAATGAGAATTTCCGAAAACTTTTCAGTCTTAATGTATATAAATTACTACTGCGCTTATGTGTTGAAGCAATTTTGTTTCAATTCAATGTTACATTTGATGAAATATTCTATTTAAGTGATATATCATCAATCAATTGTAGGTTGAATATAAATTCATTGCATTTTATTAAATATTCTCATCATTATTCATTCGAGGATACCTTTTAAGGAAACTTTAAATAATTCTAATTAAATCCGGTTTTAATTGACTAATTGAATCATACTAAAAATAAATCTTCTTTAATATGTACCATTTCAGTAAATGTAAGATTAGTTTAGTATTTTGCATTTCATACTCTTTTACTTACTAATTGATTTGCTTCCAATTATTTGCTATAAGTTTCGACTAAAGATTGAAAGAGATACAAAGCACTTACATTTCATATTTTAGAAATAATTTTATTGAAGGCATTACCAATAATGTTTCTAAGAAAAATTTAATTTATACTAACTGATTTTGATTGATTGAGGAACTGTCAATATGTATTAATTTAATGTACTAAAATGTTGTATTTTTCATAAATTAAATTGTTTCTTCAGTAAACAAAGTATCCAGAATTAATTAATATAACAAACAAAAAATTATCAATCAATCAAGATTTTACTTTGTCGCTATTGAAGCTGGTCTCATTGCGTTCAACACATACAGATTTCTCATCACAGAAAATTATATTTTATGACGCCAATAGCCTCGACAGGCTTTCCTTGAAGTAATAATTTAAACTGTGAAGATATATAGAATCAATACGGTGCTTGGCGAAACAGATTTGTTAATATATCTTACCAACAACCCTTGCAAAATGTAATCAATTCTGCATACCTTTTACCTAAAGTGTATAGGTATACATAGGTACATATACTTGATCCATATCATCTGCTTCCCAAATGTATCTTTTAGTTACATTTTTCTAATTATAAATTTCATATACTTTGTGTACTGAATATATTTATTCCAAAATAATATACATAACAAGCCCAGACCATATGTATATATATGTAAATATAAATATATAATAATATATGTATATGATCTGAACTTATCTATTTCGAACACTAACATATATAAAAATGTAGAAAATCCCAAAGGTCTTTTAGTCTTTGGGTAATCATTTAATATGACTTCTTTCAGATTTTTGTATACCCTCTAACTGATATTTAAAGTATTAAATACGAACAGGATTTTAAAGTTATTTCTAACTGATTGGGTCTTTAAATATTTAAAAAATCATCTGCAAGCATTAGGAAAATATATTACTCCGAAATTTTCTAATTTAATTCTATGAAATTAAAATCCATAGTTATCCGTAAAATATTATTCAGTTCTTTAATAATAATAATTTACAAAATAATAATGTTTTATACATAATAGATTATAATATAAACCATTAAGTTATCGTGTTAATTTCTTGAGAAGTGTTGATCCTACGAAAATTTTTTTTGGCACACTATGCTCATAAATTATATTACATTGCGATGAGAGTAGCTATTAGCTTATCATATTACCCGCTTACAATTACTTAAAAATATAGTATTTGATTGAGTTTCGATCGCTTTTCGCTATCTGTCACAAGCGCTATACTGCAGGCCTCTTTTATATAAGAAGGTATTACGATCGTTTTGAACTCCCTCACCTGTTTGCATTAAAATTATTGAACGAAGGAGAAAAAAATTGCTCATTTGCTCTATTAATCTGCGACACTCGCCAAAAAGCGTTTTTACAATATAGGTCATTACATCATCGATTGTAGTAAAAGCCGATGAATCTATCCATCAATCCTTCATCCTTAATGTATTCTTTAAATCTATTCTCCGCTTTGTTTCCTGTTCAGTAAAAATACTTAATTATATATGAAATTACTAGTCAGTGAATTTTCTAAATAAATATGTCAATTTCTTTGTGAACTTAGTCTAGTGTAAATCAAGTTACCAATGGCGTCAATTTATTTATCTAGAGAAGGTTTCTTGACCAATTGGTCCACCTCGCCTCACCTTTCATATCATTTACTTCAGTAAGAATGTTTTCGTAATTGTATTTTTTATATATTTATCTAAAGATAATTAGAATTTTGATCATTTGTTTTTCTATAGAGTATCTAAATCACATTTATTGCAAGACCAATTTCTTTTACTGTGTGAAAAAACCATTAAAAACTCAGCAATCGGTCCAACTTTATTCAATAAGTTTACTCAACGAAACTAATAGCATTTTGGACCTTCAATATAAAAATGAAATTATAGTCTAATTTTGATTTCAGTGAAGCAATGAATTTTATATAATTTAAGTTCAATGGAACTTTAAGCTTTTATGAAATATTATAGTTCCAAACATATATACTTATTAACTCCCTTTCAAGTATTTTTCTCTGGAATTTAATGAAATTATAAGATAACTAAACATCTACAAAATGAAAGACGAATTACAGACAATTTCAGATCTATTCCATTGCTGCTAAAGCCTTTAAAACAGATAGGTAGTTTCCGTAAAGAGGACTAGAACTCATGAAAAAAATTTATTTTTAAAGATTTTAGTTAAATCAAGCAAAGTGATACTCAGAGAGATTAACCCACATAATAACATTAATAATAAAACTTAGTATTTAAGATTTTGGTGAATAGTTCTTTGGTAAAAGAATATATTGGTTCACTCTTATAGCAATATTAGAATCTACTTTATTCCTCAAACTTAAATCCCAAAAAAAACCCAACAAATTTGGAGTTATTTTGACTAACATTGTGTGACTACAATAGTTTTATCAACTAATAATCCTAACGTTGCTTGATTGGATGCAATGCAGTCTTTAATTTATATTATTAAGCATGAAATTGTCAGATCTAAAATATACGCCAAGAATTTGAAATATTTTAGGTAATTCTTTACTCTACACTACATATGCTATAAGATATATACGTCATATATGAAACACACCGTATGCTATTAAACCCTAGCGTAATCTCAAGAATTAAATAATAAATTAAAAAATATTTTATATACGCATAATTAAATATTAGGGCGTGCACGTGGAGATAATAAAAATGGGGATGATGGGTTAGAGTTGCGTGGTGAAACTGGACATGGTGGTGGCCGCGGTAGACGTCGACGACATGATAAAAAGCAGCTCCAAATGTTAATACCAATGTATCTAGCAGCAACTACTTTTGGTTGGACTTTAGTAGCTGCGAAAGCAGTTGGCTTACTCACACTGAAAGCGTTAATCGTATCGAAACTAGCATTCATTGTCGCTGCTCTGGTTATTATAAAGAAGTTAATGGACAGCGCATCAGAGAAGTAAGTTCCAGAACAATAATAAAGATAGCAAATAGTAGTAAAATTTACAAAACAAGTAATAATACTTAATTAAAAAACATAGATATAAAAAAAAATTTGTCTTTCATAATAGAATGCTGTACCAATTTCCGGAACATCCACCTTACATGATGCCCTATAGCATGGAGTACCCTATGCATTCCATGGGTGGTGCTGAAATTGCAGCAGATGGCATGTATCCTGCAGCACTGCAGTTGGCAGCTGCCGCTGCACCGCTACCTCATCACACAGGGCATTCAGGTTTAGAAAATCTTGCTGCTGAAAGTAATTTGCATCACAATGTTGCTGATGTACACAACAACACACAAGTGCTCGCTGCATTAAATGCAGCCGGTCTGGGACCGAAAATTAAGCGCGAGGATTCTTGGATGGCGAAAAGTAAGTCTAAATTTCTTTCCCATTTATTGTTATAGAATTTTTTAGTACGAAATCACTGTGTAGGTGGAGACTTGCCATTGCAATTACTCTTACAAGCACAAGAGAAGCATAATGGCATCCTAAATAACGTAGCTAGGACGCGTCTTAAATCGCTGTACAAAAATTTTAATTTTGTGAAGCCTCTTGTTTATGCAGCTGCTGAAACTGCTGTTGAAAATAGCTTAAGGAACGATTATATGGATGAAGCCAGAAAATTCATATAAAAACAGCAAAAAATATTTCTTATATTTTAAGTATATTTAGGTAATATTGCAGTATAGCGACATTTTTGCAGCACTTTTCCAAAACAATTGTCAGGACTTTATGCTGTGATTGTATTTTCATTTTTGTTATGCAGATGTCCTCTTGTTATCAATAAACTTGTTTTAGTTTAAACTTATTAAATAATATAATGCCACCAATGAAGCATTAGTAGTTAACTGAAATATATTAATAATCCATTTCATAATAAAGTTATATTAATAATGTCTACTTTATAGTTAGTCATATTTATATACATATGTATATACCCTCATCCAGTGACGACTGCTCTAAGGTGCGGAGGTGTGCGGTGAACACCCTAATATAATTTGCAAAATGTTAAATAACATAGGTATATAAATTTATTAAGTATCTTCACATCAAGAATTATTATTATTTATTACATTTCCATATAAATATATATTTTTAAAGTTTTAGCAAAAACAATTAAATATAATTGTCTATATAACTCAATTAATTTGCTTATGTTAGCCGCTATACTTGTTAGTTGTGCTCATATATTTGCAGCTCAAATCACAGAACATTTCTATTATATTTCGTCTCTCCCCTTTGTGTGCAAAGAAGTTGGCCGCACATTCATACGTTACATATGAACAAAATAATGTGCGTGTGCTCCCGTTCGTAATATCAGAAATAGAGATATATATAGTGGGAATTGTATGAGAGTAATTTTCTGTTCTACTCGAATATTAACTGCATGCATACGAATCCAACATGATGATTTGCCAAAGTGGTTGCATGAGCGGCTGAAGTTTGCAGCTCATCTCACCATACATTTCTATCACATTTCGTCTCTCCCCTTTTAACAGCAGCACCCACGAATTTCTGTTCTTATTGTGCGGGGTACTTGTGCGCACATTTATACGTTGCAAGTGGTTTCGATTTTGTTTGATCACTGCACAAACATGTATGTTTCTAAGTACAAACTCTTTTGTTTGAAAAAATTTGGTTTGATGTTACGAGAATTATGTGAAAAGTTTTGTTTCTTCCATATTGATATAATATTAAACTTGTATATAAATTATTAATTTAATTTGTTTAATATGTTATTTTGTTAATGAATTGTTAATATAATATTGCGCGAATATATTGTTGCCTTATATAATATAGTATTATTAATAAAAGATCTCATATATTTTAATATAAGTGGTACATGTAAAAACAACATTAAAGAAGGGCCGCACACCCTTCCAGATAGGGCACGCGTCGTCACTGCCCTCATCTATGCTATAACTGTTCCTCATTCCTGCTATGAATAACTTTACATTCTTCTTATATACATAACTATATATTTTGATAGATTTTACATACAGAATCATTATTCTCGAGAACATGTGACACATTCTAATGCGGTATTATCAATTTTCTTACCTATTAAAAATGTATTGGAATAGCACGCAATCTTATAAATTCACTCATTGAAAAGTTATAATAAAATAAATTTTGCATATGGAATTGCAATTCACTTAGAGCATATGACCTATTTTAGTATCATTTAATCATATAACATCCTTAACGAAATTTAAAAAATTGTTTTTAGTGAGATCTTCCTACATTGGCTGGAATGAACTGACAAGTTAAAAGTACAAGGGCAGTATATATATCGGCAATAATTCTGTCAATGTGATCCAATCTTATTGAATTATTTGAGTACCGCAATGATTTCACATAATCCAGTAGAGAATAAAACAAATCGTCAAGATCACATAATCGAGCTTAGCCTAATCCCGATCGTTACATTTCTGCTGCAGTAACTCCACAGTTTCGTGCGCTGTACATCATGTTGGATTTGTTATTAAAATGAAAATTATAGCAAACTAATACTATTTAATAAGAGAATTAATGCCATTGATTTTGAATCTATAGCGCTTTCTTACATTTTTGAAATAAGACAAGCCACCACCCACCAGCAAAATATACTGACAATAAATCAAATGTCAGATCTCAAAATAGTTACTGCTACAAACTATATTGGCAACTTAGAAGTCCAATATCTTAAAAAAAATCTTTTTGTTCTTTCTCAACATCATCTATTTGCATTTCAAATACTTTAAGTCAGTTACACACAACGAATTGGTAATTAATAGGTTTGAACTTTATTTTCAGTAGATATTTCAGATATTAATAGATGTATTAAATGCATTTAACATCCATTTTATTTATGATCAGTTAATGGATATTTAAAAGTCAGCTCATTAGTATTTGTCATCAAATTGATCACTACTAGTGTAATCACATAAGTTGGCATACTTCTTGATGATGATGAGTTGTGTAATTTTTTCCAAATTATTTAAAGTAATTAGTATTCTGTGATGGACTGACAGGGGTGTGGTATCAGGGTGCAATGAAATCGCATTCTGCATGATCTCGAATTTTGTTTTACATTAAGGAGGTCTTCAGCTATTAATACTAAACTCTTTTTTGCCAAACATAAACAAATGTTCTCTGCATATTATTAACTAATAATTATCTATGTTATTCATTTTATATATTGTTAAATGTATAGACTGGTTACAGGAACGGGTCGGCAAATATTTTTTGCCTTGAGGTAAGTTGTAAGAATATGTCTTGTAAAAAGCCTAGATAGATAAAAATTAGCTGGTTCCCTTTAAATTAAAGTTATTTCGCAGATCTGTCATCCTTTTCTGTAAATACTCTAACAATCTGCCAAAAAAAAATACTTCTATGAAAGTTTGTTTCATCTAAACGTGAAACTAGGAAATTGTGAAGAAAATACTTGATTGTTTCCATTTTTCAAAAATTTTTCAAAAATTAGTTTACCATTCAAAAGTTAACAGAGAACTACAACAAGCGGTTTCTGTGAAGCAGTTCAATCTACTTTTGCTGTACGGAGTCCAGTACTACCAAAACGTTACAAAGTATTTTCCACTTATTAACGCCACTTGAAGAAAGTAGATGTCCTTGTCTTAATAATAAATTTAAAAAACAAAATAGACCAATACACTAATCCAGTGTTAACATCATAAGAGTATACTAATGATATAAATAATAATGAATAAATCTAAGTATCACATTTATAGTATCCGTTCGACACGTCCTTTGGGCATATAATGCCCTCTGACTATTGTCACATTTCTGAATGTTATACGTCTTGCCCTATGATCACTATAATACTGCAATACCATTACTTAATGTTGGACTGACAATGGTTGTATACATTTAACATAAAAGCCATGACGATATTACAAATTTCGTACTAAAAATAATATTTAATAAAAGATATTGATAATAGTAACAATAATGAGCAAGGAAGAAGAAATATAACGACTTTAATAGGTCTTTTATAATTGTATCGTTAATCAAACAGAAAAAAATGAAATAAAAGTTAACAATAATGATGAGTGCACTCAACGTATTCAAAGCATAAATGGTCCAGATGCAAACCCAGCCCATTCCAGAAGAATATAAGCATAATATTTCATAGAGTTTGTTTTGTAGTTGCAATGACGATTTTAAGAGGATATTTCGGAATTATTTAAAACCTTCTGTTTAATATTTTTTTATTCAAAAAATAGTTACTAATATTCCTTTTTAAGCGTATATTTAAGTGTAATAGTTAGTGCTGAATGATATTTGTAGCAGTAACAATTATAAAAACATAATGGACTTCTTTTAGTGAATTCGTATATATAATAAATATTTTTGATCATCAATATTTTCATTTTAGCGAGCTCGGCAAGGCATCCTTTGATGTACAATTACCTGCAACCTCAAAATCCTTACTACGTAACGCAGTAATCGACTGCTTAACACATTTACGTGGTGCACGTAGAAGACAAAGAAATATATAAAATCTTTTAGTTTTTAAAATTAAATAAGAATTAATATAAATAAAATAGAAAAAATTAAAATTGAAAAACAACAAAAATAAAAATAAACACAAAAACAAAAATTAAATTAAATAATTAAAAAAATTTTTAAAAAAGTTAATAACTATAACACACACATTTTTTTAATTAGAAATTAAATTAAATTGATTTTAAGCTGCAAATAGCAAAAAGTGCTTTAAAAAATAAAAAAAAATTATAAATTTAAGTTTAAGTTTAATTTTTAATTAGCATAAAGACAGACTCAATTTTAGCAATAGTTCATGCATTCAATATATTTAATTTATTTTGTAATTAATTATACATACATAAATTTAAGTATTATTATAATAAATATGTATTATATAAATAAATAATTATATATAAAAGTTTTAAAAATTCTTTAAAAATATTCAACTTAATTTTATTTAAAAAAAAATCAATAAAAGCGTTGAAGCAGTAAAAATTAAGGCAAATATAATTTAAAAGTAGACACAAAACACCAGGAAAATATGACAGCATATGCGTTATAATGATACCCTACCATTTTTTGAAAAAAGTTTATTAAAAAAATAAGACACCACAAAAGTGAGTTAAAGTGTAGTAAAAGTTTAAAAATATTAAATTTATAATAAATAAATAAATAAATGCATTTCAACCAAAAGACACCAAAAATAAAAATAATTGAAAGAGAAGCGTAAATTCTTTTGTTCGTTTATAAATATTTGCTCTGATCTCTTATCAGAATCTATATAAAATTATTTTTTCATATTTATTTTAAATATAATTACAGTCTCAACAGTCCGATTGTCAATGAATTTTTGTACTTAGTGTGTTTGTTTACTTAGTGTCAAGTCAATAACTTAAGTCATGTTTATATTGCTTAAAGTACTGTGAAAGTCACTTCATAACATATATAGTACTTAACCCGTCTATGTAAATGCTAACAATGACTTTATAAATACTATAACTACTATATTCTTTAATATTATGTTGGTTTTTGTGCCGTAAAAGCCATTTCATGTGCGTCTTGTTCACTTAATTGTGCTGGCATGTCAGCCATACCTTCCAGAAAACCATCTAACGCACGCGCCCAACCTGAATTGTAGCTATCATGATGTGGTATTTCTACTACATGCTTCTTCTGTGACATAAGCTTTTTCAGTGCTATGATAACAGATAAGAGTAACGCAATCTTAGATACAATTAATGCTTTGCCAGCTAATAAAAATAATCCTTTTAGTATAAGGGCACCAATAACACCGGCCTTAGTCGTCATCACCAACAGCAGTGGTATTATATGTCTAAGCCTACCACGTCCTTCCTCCATTGCTACGTTTGGACTAATTGAAACACCCAAATTAAGATTTCCTTTTGGTTCTGTTGTTACCACAAAATCGGCATTATCTGTAAATTTGTAACGCAATGTGCGCGAACGTATAAATTTCCATATTTTATTTGCCACGAGTAGACCAAGAGTTTCATCATCTGAATTAATGGAACGTGCCAATAATAAATCATCCTCTGGATCATCTGCAATTTCTTCCATATGCCTGTGCAAATAATAGTTATAAGAAAAAAATGTTGATTAGTTCAATGCAGTTGAATTCCTTTAAAGTATTGGGATTCTGTAGATAGGAATGTCTTTGTTTTTATCGCAATAAGAAAATAATATTGTAAGGCATAGTGCACCTGTTTTCTGTAACTCTGATGTAGTCATTGATGTCGATGGTGGACTTTTTAAATATTCGATTCATGTACACATTCAATTTCAGCATTAAGCAAGAGTTGTTATCCCTTTGGTTACATTTCATCTTCAGTTTTCGCATAAATCCCTCCTCTAGTTGATTGCGATTCACTACGGGAATCTATAATTAAAGACACAGTGTGTGGAATAAACTTTAGTGAAGTAATTTTAAAACAATGCTTTGTTAGTACATTTAAATATGAAAAACATTTTAATTATTATACACAAGTACATCCTTTGGTAGAAATATAACCTAAATATTTTTAACAAACTAAATAAGACTAATATTGTTTTGTGGAATAAGTAAAGAATATACCAATAAGAATCTCATCACTCTCAACACTCTCCTTGTCAACTTTCACAAACTGAATATTTAAGGTTTTTGGAAAGGAACTTCATCCTTAAAATTTGAAATAATTTAATCTTTAAAACTTAAATTCGTTTTATATCATACATTTCCTGCAAAATGTTGTAAAGCTTACACACATGTGTGACTTTATAAATTAATTTTGTTACAAATCTCTTTTAAGGAACAAGGAACAAGTTACTAAATGGATTACGTTTTCTACCGTAAAATTTGAGGTTCAAGTCACCATGACATTGTGCCATGCAAAAACTTTCATTTCATTAAAAAATATATTTAAAACCGAGCATACACAGCTTAGGGTACGAGTACAAACATCGTTTGATAAGGTTGCCGTATTGTCGTTTCTAGATGTGTAAATTCTTTATGGGAGGACTAAATAAAAATGATTTTGGTAAAAAATCAAATCATTTTCTACATGATTGATATTTTGTTTGCCTAGAAATATTGCACCAATAGAACATTGAATGTATTTCAAAGTCAAGGAATTCAATCCATCCAAGTCCCATTGTATGTTGCTTAAAGATATCTGAATGACGAAAATAGGGAATTATTTTGTTGACGTTTAATATGAAGTCTGATACTTTTTCTATTACATCAATTAATTATATTTATAACTGATAATTTTACACAAGTTATTCATAACAACCAATAAAGTTACTAAGCACTTAGTCATCTTAAATACTAGTTTAATAAAAATATATGTGATCAGAAAAGAGAAAACTAGACTAGCATTAAAAACACTTAATAGCAATATTCCTCAACGCAGATTACATGTCTCCTAGGGGTTGCTAATATTATGGAGGAAAATTTCTGGATAAACTAAGCATAAGTATCCATAAGTAACTCAGAATAAGTATAATATATTAACAGTTTGGAACCAAGAAGATTCTATTAGATTTATAACTATAGTGACAGTACTGCTATTTGATATGTTCACTTATTATTATTCGCTTTTCAGGAAGCTTTTTATTTATTACCAATGTTTTAGGAAAACTGTAAGAGCAAAGAAAGTTGGGTCGTCATTATAGGAAAAATACTGATTTATTCAACACTTGGATCTTATTAATTAAAGACAAATTGAGCATGATGTCATCACATCGTTGTTGTTACGCGTCGTCAAAAAGCTCAACATACCGGTTTTTGGCAATATTCGAAAGTACCGTGGAAAAGAGTTCCTAAATGTGAAGAATGAGGTTTAAGGCTTGAATTTGAATAAGGATAATAAAGTAAAAAGAATGAATGTATGGAAAAAAATGGGCGAGGAGGAATAAAGACTGTAACCAGAACAGTTCGTGCTGCTGTAAACAGCCTCCCTTCTTTTAAAGAGATAACAACTAGAATAGTATTGACAACCAGATTGCTATCAGTGCTATCTTTAAAATCTTATATACACATTTCACTTATTAAAATTTTATTAAATAAACCTTTTTACAAATGCCACATATTTCTAGATTTGATTTTAGGTAAAGATCCTAGTACTAAAGTGATTTTTAGAGACTTTTAATATATTGTAACTATATCGGATATATTACATTATATTACATTACTTCACATTTTAGTAAAGTAATGTAATTGTTATGTTCATGGAAATTATTTTGATATGCGTTGGATGATATGTAACTATTTATCTGTAATAATAATGCTGTCTCTATCATTAATATACTGATACTATTGAAAAAAATATTGCGAAAATTCAAAAAATATAAACTATCTACGAACAAATATTTATTTATAAGATAGTTAGAAAATCCCTTTCCAATGAATCATATAGGAACTCATAATGCTATTATAAAACTTCTTTATACTACAAAAAAAAGGACATGGCAAGATTATTTTGTATAATAGGTCAGAGGAATAAAAATGAAACTGTATCCATCAGAGAAATTTCAAATAAGGTACCTAGAATATGGGTTGATCCTTAAACTATTTAAAAGAACTATAGTTTAAATTGTATTATTAGTATATGATTAATATTAAGAAGATTAAGTATTAAGTATATTGGTATTTTGTGGATATATCTGTCTATTTCTCTTCATTTTCTCCTCTTTTTCGTATTATTGGTTTCGTTTTGTGTACAAAAAAGATTTCATTTTTCGACTTTTGTGAAAGGGTTTTAAAAAGATGGGTTATGTGTTACTTTTAACAAGTTATATGTATATATACTTATGTTTAGAAATGTTCGACCACAATTTCAAATCGAACTCATAGAACTCACGAATTAAATTAATGAACATAGTAAGGATCTATGATTAACTGACCTTTATATATTCAACTCATAGTGAAAGAATTATTATATCAAACTATTTAAGATTTTAATTCTTAAAAAATAATGTTTCTTTATTTCTCTAATATTATTTATTTCTTATAACAATTGATTATACTGTCTTAATTTTAATACATTATAATTTCTTTTTTTTTGCTAATACCCAAGCTTCGTCAACTGTTTTTCGTTTGTGCATTTCTTTTACGCTTACTAAAGCTAATTTTCGAAACTGATTTAAATTTGTTTATTGCTAAAACATTCACAAGAGACGAATTTTGTATATTGCCATTATTCTATAAACAAAACAATTTTTGGATTAAGAAAATAAGGGAAAGAATGTGCGAACATAAAAGTCAAGTACGCCCTTGGGTCAGTTGGTTAAGGAGCGCTAACTCTGAGCGCTTCAAATTTGGCAGGGTACGAATTCGATTGCTGGTACTTGTAGTCTCAAAAAAATTATTTACAAATAATTAAATACAAGAACTATTTCCAAGACCATTGATAATGGATATTTGGCAATACTCGTAACAGCTGTATGGTCAGCCAAAAATTCAATTAATTAAAATAATATAAAAAAGAATTTTGTTGTTG